ATTATTTGGATTTGCAAACCAACTTTGTCCTCAAAAATTGGGGTGTTATTATAAATAAAAACAAAAGAATTTAGATTCCAATTTCATCAATCTTAGAATCAGAATTCTACGCATGATTGGTAAGCAAAAGAAGTGGAGACTTTTACTTTTACTTTTCACCTTTCCCAGGAGAAAACCACTAAAACTATCAAAAGCTTTCGGCTGCACAAAAAACAGGGATTTCCGAAGCAATAGCTAAGTTGGCGAGAGATGAAAGAAGCTATGAACAAGACAGTAAATCTCATATCTTCCAAACAGAGATGCGCTTACTGCGACACTTTCAGAAGTTTTTTAGAGTTACTGAGGGTGTCGTCGACGAATTGCTAGCATGCGTGAGCGCTAGGTGAGTGATGACCTGATTCAAAGTGTTGATCCGTCTGGAGACGGCCAGTGTACCGTATGCGTTATTGGAGGCTTTCCGAAGTGCGGCAGCCACATACGCCTGTCGTCCTACGACTGACGCGATCAGCGTTCGGATACTCTCCCATGGCGATGCGTCCTCCTACAACAACCGGCGGCTAGGCGCTCATCTCACGAGACTACAGGTGGGCAAACGTTCATCACATAACTTTCCAAATGGAGTGAATACTTGTGGAGGTGGTGGGAGGGACATGGAATGGAGGAATCACAGTAAGCGAATGATTGGTCACGATTCGTGCGCTTCGGTGTCGTGAACGATCATGTCATTAGCAAAAAAATGGCTATGCAAGGTGGACCAGGGGCCAAAAGAGAATGAGGATGCATAAATCCAGGTGAGAGGGATGATAAATAATATGAGACAGACAAGGTGGGACAATACTATAGACTGCATGGATTTCGTATAACGTGGCTTATTGATGCTTGTAGCGAACAACTCTTACCTTCTCCTCATATGTGCTCAGTAATGGTTTGTACTGGAAATTAGAGATGATTTACTGCAACATTAAAATACTTCTAAACCGCAAGAAAGAGTCGGATTAGGAAAGCAATGACAAACAAAGATGGTGAGAAACATCAGCGCATATTCTGAATGTTGCCCTCACAATTGTATATAATTTGATTGTTACCTCGTCTTTTTGGCGACTTGCTAGCTGTTGATTCTCGCTGGCGCTCATTCGATGCACAATCCATACCTTGGCAAACATCGACCCGTATGCAAAAGTGAAGCCAATCATCAAGATAGATATTCGAGACTAAAGTAGAGATATTTATTAACGTGCTATGAAAATCTTATTTCAGTAATCAAATTTATTCGGTAACCCAGTGAAACCAACATGGCACAGTATGGAAAATGCTGATTGAGGCAGTGCAATTCCTTCAGAAGGCAAACCCATGAGAAATAACGAAGCGATACATAAAGAACAGCCACTAATCAAAATGTTGTTGCATTGTGGCTGCGATTGAACGATTATCCTAAAACATATTAAAATACGCGTAAAAATACTTTTAAAAACGGCTTAGCTGCCCCCACGTTCTGTTAACAACCAAAATTAAAGGTATATTAAAAATCAACCCCTAGAATTCCTTTGGACATTTTTTTTTGTGGAAAAAATGGACTTTGGGAAACCATTTAAGACTTAAGGTGCTTTTTTGACTATCATAGGTTCTTATGCCCTAGTTCAACGAAAGAAGATGATTCATTGCATCGGAAAATTCTTTGGCTGCTTGCAAAGATTTCTTTATAAATTTGTCTTTATAAATTTATAAATTGGTTTTTTGTCAATTGTTGTCGTTTTACACTGGATCTTCACGCCGTTTCTGCCCAATTGTAAAGTCTCACGAATGTATACCGACTACAAATGCGAATATTATAAAAAGCTTCTGTTAACGTCATCGTCTTGTAGTTTAATTACATACATGTCCATGATTAGCAAGTTTCTCTTCTTCGCTGAAAGAAGGAAGTTGAACTCACCCCCGAAACGCGTATTTGTTATTGAAGATGAAAGTCCCTGCTGCGAGAGCTAGACCAATAAAGGCAAAAACGGCAACAGCATAATAGAGCTGAAACGAAACGACTTTTTTCTTGGCAGACATGTCGTTAGGGTGTCAATAACAAAACATAATCGAGTTTCATCTTATAACCCAAAACTCCGAGCATCTTACTTCACTGGCAACGGTAAGGATCGATTCACGGATGATTGTCGAATCCGGTGGTGGGCCTTTGCTCGAATACCATTGCTCCTTCCCGTACCATTCCAATTCTTGTGTAGTTGTATCGTAGAAGCCCATAACTACGTACTTACCGTCTAAAAATACACCTTGAGATATTTCAAAAACACCAATCACTTTCAGCCTTCCCACTTTGCATTTGTTCGATCTGTGTTCGTGCTATTCGATCACCAGAATCCGAAAACATCACTCTTCCCTGAATGAACATTATTCACCGAATATGCTTTATAAATAAAGCAGGGGGAGTCCATC